TGCGGCACAGTTTCGGAAATGTCCCGACCAGACTTACCGACAGGGTGAATAAAAATTTTCAGTCGGTCGGTCCCCTTTTTTGAAGATTGAGTAGGTTTGCTCGAAAACTGTGAGGAATTTCCAACTTTTGGGATTTTTTTCCCATCTTCCCATAAAGTTAGGAATCGAATGGAAAAAATCGCAAGTCTCTACGACCACCCCTTGACCCCAAACATTTCTATGAGTGAGTGAGTCAGTCAGTCAGTCGGATTGGGGCTATACAATTGGTTTTTGATGATTTTTGATGATTGATTGATGATTGATGGGTGGCCAAATCTTACCCTTACCACAAGAAGGGTGTAATGCTGCCTTGTAAGGGAGCATGGGGCGATTTGTAACAGGGGCGATTCGTAACAAATGCGTTTATTAATTTAAGTGGAGGGAGCAGAGGAAAATCTGAGTATGGCCCCTCTTTCGCTTCAAGTACAGGGTCTTTGAACAATCGAAGCGGGTGTGATCGGTGCTCAGGTATAGTTTTGGAGGGCGTCAGAAATATAGGGTACACCGAAATTTCAGCGAACAGGCAAATCTTTTATTTTGAGTTCTAGGAAGTTTCTGTCTGAGGCTCCCCAGGTATGAATCACCATCGAAGTACCGTTAGGGCCTTGAAGCGTGACCCCTTTACAATGTAAACACGTGGCATAAGTTGCTTTTACTTTGTCCAGTGATAGTTAGGGACGGATTTCTTGCGTAACAGGCATTTGGGGTGATTCGTAACAGACCCGTATAAAAACAAGAATTTAAGAAGTTTTTGCTGTTAAATGCTTGCATTATTTCTCGAATCATCTGCTGTTTTATTCCAATACATTTACACAGCTCGAAATGCATTTTACAGCGAGTTATTCTATGCTTTCCTTTAAAATTGAAAAAAGTGAGGTTAGGAATGACATAGCCGATCAGTTAATGCTGAGGCGGTCAACGGCAGCTTGTAATGTAGATTTTTAGACGTCTGCAAGACACCCGAAGAACAACTGGTGGAGGAGATAACATTCCCGACGACGTTTCATTTAATGTGTAGGATGTTATGAAAAGCCCCATGGCTGTTACAAATCACCCCATGCTGGGGCGATTCGTAACAGCATGCAAGGGTTTGGAAAGCTTCTTAGATTTCAAAGATTACGGACTCCACATTGATCCAATGCAGCTGCACAGTCTAGATGAAGGGCCAGACTGCTCAACTGGCACAAGTTTGACACCGATATGCAGAATGTTCTTAATTTTGTATAGAGAATTCCGAAATCTGTTACAAATCGCCCCATACTCCCTTACAGCCACATTAAAGAATTGCGCAAACGCCTCTGGCACATTGTGGACCCCTTTCACCTCCCTGATGGCGAATTTGCGAAAAAGTTTCGCCTGTCCAAGCAGCTAGTAAGGGAGTTAATTGAAGACATAACTCCTTTCATGTCTTATGGGGGGCACGGTGGCGCTCTTTCCGTTGAAACAAAGGTAATAATTTACAATACTAATAGTTCAAGATTTACAGTAAATTCATCTGCAATATCAAAATTTACAAGACTACAACATTAGTGACCGAACAATGGTTTCTTCGCTGACAGGTCTTTGCAGCTCTGAATTTCTTTGCCTCTGGAACCAGCGAGCAGTGGGGGAAAGCTGGGTCCATTGTTTCGGGAGGTGGATTTTGTATGTTCCTGACCGTCATTGCTTCATATGGACGTGAATTACAATTGAGAATTTGGTTTCAATGCTGGAGAGACCAGGTTCGATACACTTTAAAGATCGAACGTTCTAAACGGTATCCAGGAGAAATGATTAACACACAACAAAACAAAGAAACCACACATCGTGATGCTAAAACAGATGTGGGTACCTGGCATTTGGCTGCAACAGGTCGACGGTAAAAATCTGAGAACTGATGTGGCTAATTTCCATTCTGCACCTTGGACAGGCTTGCTGCGAGTGGTCGAGCCTTGCTGCGCAGACAAAGCAGAACCTCGAACAACCACATTTGTGGAGAGTCCCGAGGTGGGTTTCATTGTCCATAAAATCTTCGAGGCAAACAGTGCAGAAATCTGTAAAGACAAACTCTGTTAATACTTGCACAGTTTAATTCTAATGTAGCTCAATAAATCTTTGATCATACTTTCTGGCATCGACTGCTCATCGACATAGAAACCATCTTTTTGAATCTTGTTGCACTCTTAAAGCCTTACGAAGTATTTTGAGCATACATATAACAAACTAAAATACTTTGTTATACGAAGAAATAGTTCGTAAATTACGAAGTATTTTATTTGTAGGCTTACGTAAGCTCAAAATACTTTGTTATAAGGGAGTATGGGGCGATTTGTAACATGGGCGATTCGTAACAAATGCGTTTATTAATATAAGTGGAGGGAGCAGAGGAAAATCTGAGTATGGCCCCTCTTTCGCTTCAAGTACAGGGTCCTTGAACAATCGAAGCGGATGTGATCGGTGCTGAGGTATAGTTTTGGAGGGCGTCTGAATTATATGGTACACCGAAATTCCGGCAAACAGGCAAATCTTTTATTTTGAGTTCTAGGAAGTTTCTGTCTGAGGCTCCCCAGGTATGAATCACCATCGAAGTACCGTTGGGGCCTTGAAGCGTGACCCCTTTACAATGTAAACACGTGGCATAAGTTGCTTTTACTTTGTCCCGTGATAGTTGGGGACGGATTTCTTGCGTAACAGGCATTTGGGGTGATTCGTAACAGACCCGTATAAAAACAAGAATTGAAGTAGTTTTTGCTGTTTAATGCCTGAATTATTTCTCGAATCATCTGCTGTTTTATTCCAATACATTTACAGAGCACGAAATGCATTTTAAAGCAAGTTATTCTATGCTTTCCTCTAAAATTGAAAAAAAGTGAGGTTAGGTTTGACATAGCTTATCAGTTAATGCTGAGGCGGTCAACGGCAGCTTTAAATGTAGATTTTTAGACGTCTGCAGGACACCCGAAGAACAACTGGTGGAGGAGATAACATTCCTGACGATGTTTCATTTAATGTGTAGGATGTTATGAAAAGCCCCGGCTGTTACAAATCACCCCATGCTGGGGCGATTCGTAACAGCATGCAAGGGTTTGGAAAACGTCTTAGATTTCAAAGATAACGGACTTCAGATTGATCCAATGGAGCTGCACAGTCTAGATGAAGGACCAGACTGCTCAACTGGCACAAGTTTGACACCGATATGCACAATGTTCTTTATTTTGTATGGAGAATTCCGAAATCTGTTACAAATCGCCCCATACTCCCTTACAAACTACTTCTCTTTGTAAGGCCCAAAATAGTTTGTAATGGTTTTTGAGTGTGCAAACTGGGCAATCAATTTCGTTTGTTTTCATGCGCTCTTCCTCGCTTGGGGACAACTGAAACAAACATAAGGAACACTTATGAAATAATACTTGAAGGGATGGATTCAAAAATGGAGGAACTACTCTTACCTCTGCAGCAGGAGCCTCAGCAGGAAGTGACTCATTGTCACTGATGTCAATCACCTGAAGATCCTCAATGACCTCATTTACTTCCAAGACCGGCTCTGGCTCTACAAGTGCAGCCGGCTCTGGGGCCCCTGCTGCCGGAAGAATTCGTACCATAATAGGAACTCTTTTGGTGAAGCACATAAAACTTAATTCGAAGTGATGACTCTACTTACCAAATTAGATCGCAGCGGCCTGGCCCCTGGCATTGGTCTTGCGTAAGCTTAAGGACTTGTTTGGTTTAGACCTGGCGTGCTCTTCCTCTGATTCCGTCTCTGCGACCTTTGCCTGCCGACTTCTTGATTTTGGGGGGAGCCGCTTGGATTGTCTGGCCTCAGCCTCAAAATCAGAGTCAGAGTCTGACAGTACTCTCTTCTGTTCAGGGAATGAACCATGCGTACAAGAAATGAAATAAACACAGTTCAATGGCTGATAAGAAGTATAGTTGATGTTCTCTTAGCTGCAGTACTAACCTTCTTGCCCTTGGCACGCTTCTCAACTTTCTGAACTTTGCGTTGCTGGTTTACTCTAGATATCTTCTTCTTCTGAAGAAAGTCATCAGAATCCTCCGGTAAAAAGAACCACACTTCTTAATAAAAAAGCAACGAGTAGATGACATAAATGAAAGGAACATTTTATTACCCCATCCATCTAACGTTCTAGAGCGTCTTGATGTGAATCATCACTTTCAGTGTTGTTTTCACGCCGTGGCTTCCTGAGTCACCTGAAGAAACACCATCAGGGTCAAATTATAACTGAATAGCCTATCTCCGCATTTCAAGAGATAATAAAATTGACCTTCTCACCTTCTTAGCTCGTTGATCATATTCCTCTTCATTTGAATATTCATATATACTAGCTGTCTCAACACAGGGCACGCCTCCCCACTTCCCCTCCAGACACGAGCTGCCGCCCCGCTCGCCGCGTCGCTCCCTGCGCCCTCCGCCGACCGGGGTCACCAGCCGAACTAACCGGGTCACTGTCCGCCGAGGCCCCCCCCCCCTTTACCACAGTCCCACGCAAGCGCGCCCATCTGGTCAGTCTGACTGGCCGCCCATTTTTAACGCCATTAGACAGGCGTTGGCCGGCCACTCACTGCGAGGCACCCTCGGAGGCACCGAGACTTGCCCACGCCCACTGCACCTTACCAGACGCCGCGCCTCAAACACTGTTAAAAAAAGTGCTGTAAATTAACAGCACTTATGCTGTTAAGTTTGATAGCAACACGACTTGTTTTATTACAAGCATGTTGTAGCCCTCGGTGCTGTTTTCTGACAGTTCGATTGTAATAAAACAATACTTCTTTGGAGTCTTCGACGATGTCTTCCCAACATTTATGTTGATTTCATCGTGCTGTTTTTAAACAAGACCCTTGTTACCTGACAACATTACATGTTTTAAGATTGCAAAAGGCTGTTTCTGAACACGAAACCTGTTCAACGACAACACCACTATTTTGAATGACGATTACATTGTTGTTACTTGACAAGGAAATTGTTATGAAACAAAAGTGCTGTTTCTGGATGGGTTTCCCGTTCAGACACAAAACAATACTGCTGTTATTTAACAGCATTAATGTAGTTGATTGTGTTGTTATATTACAGTGGATTTTAAACAGTGAAGGGCTGTGCAGGCAAAAAGGCCGCGCAAGCTGCGCTCAGCCCAAAGGCCAGGGCCGTCGGCACTCCGGGCTGCGCGGGGCGAAGCTTCGGAGGCAGGGGTGGGGCCGGGGGGCACGGCCTGCGGTGCGGGGTTTGGGGGCCCCGGGACTGCCGCGGTGGCGGGAAGGACTCGGGGTAGGGGCGTGGGGCAGGGGTGGCCTGGCCGCGGTGCGAGGCAGACCAAATGGTACAGTGATTTGAACTTGCAGATGGTCACCATATCGCACAACTGTGACGTCATATCTTGGCTGTAGGCCTCTGTCTTGGCTCAGCAGGCTGATTCCGAGAGTCCTTTTCGTCGCACTGTCTCACTCGCACTTATACGGGACAACCTACAAGGTAGGTGTACGCCAGACCGTGTCTTGTCGTAACAGGCTTCGCGATGCTGCGTCAGTTCCGATAATCCACGCCTGGCGTTAACACCTATCTTGGCCTGCGGGCTGGTTTGCCTTCTCATCGCCCCAGAGCCCTGATCGCACATCAAAGCAGCATTCGGTTCAAACCTTTATGCTGGAGGCTCCGCCCCCCAGACCCCCCTTCCATGTGCGGGGGTTGTGATTGGTTCGCTGGGAGGCATTTTTTTTAAGAAGTCCGATCGTGGAACACGACTGATGCCGATTTCCTCCATTTTTTGGTGAAAGGTAGTCCTTGTGGGTCTAAGAAAGGCCACAAATTTTTTTGGCCGAAATATGCACCGTTCAGATTCTATGGGCAATTTTCGTTTTCTCTGACAACTTTTCACATAATATGGCCAAAATTGAAAAATCACCTTTCTGAGGCCTCGAAGCACTCGATTGAGCTCAAAATGTGGTATCTTATGTAAAATCACGCGAGGAACATGAATCCGGTGCCCGTTTGTTGATAGGACAACCCAAACAGATGTTATGACTGTTTTTCAGGTTTTGTAGTGGTTTTTACTTTTCTTGGGGTTTTGGTGTTCGGCATCGATTTTCGCCAATCCGATGAGTGGATTTTATAGATAACGGACCAATCTATCATACTACGAGATAAAAAGTTTGTGTACGCCGCGTGAAAAGCAGTGGCGCTGCAAAAATTGAAAAAACCGTCATTTCTGGGTAGTTTAGATCAGATAAGCCACCTTTCGCGTGACCGTCTCCGCCCCATATTCAGTCTAAATATTGTCCCAAGTGATGTCAGAGTTGGTGTGAAATTTCACCGCTGTAGCTCAAGTAGTTTGGAAATGGCAGCTTTCTAAAGTTTTGCAATCACGTAAGGCATTTACTTTAAGTAGAATTGCGGTAGATGTGAAGACTTGCCACAGATCGGGTAATAAATGAGATAGATGAGTGCGTCAAAGTTCTCTAAGCGTAATTTTGGAGAGGAATCCGATTTTGCCGGTTCGAAGACCCTAGGTGTACTCTAAAACTACGTTTTCGTGCAAACCACGTAAAAATGGCCTTTTTTCCGACTTCAGAGTTCGCCTAGGGTCTTCGTACCAGCAAAATCGGATTCCCCGTCCAAAATTACGCTTAGAGAACTTTGACGCACTCATCTATCTCATTTATTACCCGATCTGTGACAAGTCTTCACATCTACCGCAATTCTACTTAAAGTAAATGCCTTACGTGATTGCAAAACTTTAGAAAGCTGCCATTTCCAAACTACTTGAGCTACAGCGGTGAAATTTCACACCAACTCTGACATCACTTAGGACAATATTAAGACTGAATATGGGGCGGAGACGGTCACGCGAAAGGTGGCTTATCTGATCTAAAACTACCCAGAAATGACGGTTTTTCAATTTTTGCAGCGCCACTGCTTTTCACGCGGCGTACACAAACTTTTTATCTCGTAGTATGATAGATTGGTCTTTTATCTATAAAATCCACTCATCGGATTGGCGAAAATCGATGCCGAACACCAAAACCCCAAGAAAAGTAAAAACCACTACAAAACCTGAAAAATAGTCATAACATCTGTTTGGGTTGTCCTATCAACAAACGGGCACCGGATTCATGTTCCTCGCGTGATTTTACATAAGATACCACATTTTGAGCTCAATCGAGTGCTTCGAGGCCTCAGAAAGGTGATTTTTCAATTTTGGCCATATTATGTGAAAAGTTGTCAGAGAAAACGAAAATTGCCCATAGAATCTGAACGGTGCATATTTCGGCCAAAAAAATTTGTGGCCTTTCTTAGACCCACAAGGACTACCTTTGACCAAAAAATGGAGGAAATCGGCATCGGTCGTGTTCCACGATCGGACTTCTTAAAAAAAATGCCTCTGGACAAACTGCATGACATTTTTAGTTTGACTCCCGGTACATTCTAATGACCACATGCATTGGGATAGAATGCTGAATTTTGCTGTGTGGGGAGCTAAGGATACGCCAGACTGTGTCTTTTCGTAACAGGCTTCGCGATGCTGCGCCAGTTACGACAATCCACGCCTGGCGTTACACTTCCCTTGGCCTGCGGCGCTTGTCTGCCTTCGGCAGGCTAGGATTCTTTTCCAGGCATCCGCATACCAATTTGCGTGATAGAAGGTCAAAACAGCATTTGATTTCGTGCCTAGGGCTGCATTGGCCTGACTTTTTAACTTGTCGAGGCTGGGGGGCTAGACCCCCCATTGGCCTGACTCAAAAGTATAATCTGGATTACTGATATATCTCTCACACATCTTCTGTCTAACTTGTCGAGGCTGGGGGGAGACCCCCTACTGGCCTGACTTCTTAACTTGTCGAGCCTGGGGGGCCCCGCCCCCCAGACCCCCTGTCTTCAAGACAGAAGTGATCTGCCTGCAGAAAACTCGATTTTTCGCCGTTTTTGGCGAGCGATAGCGAGCCCATGCCGTTTTTTGGGGGTCCCAAAAAGTGACTGGTCGTGCGTCTGTCTGTCTGTCTGTAACTCACTCACGTTTTCAGCAACTACCGCACAAATAATTTCAAAATTTCGCCCCGGGAAGGCTCCAAAATCCCCCCCAGGGGAGTTTATCTTATATTCACGATTACTATTGTTTGAAATATTAAAAACAGGGTTTTAAAATTGGTTCTTAGCGTGGTTAGGTTGGCAGTGGTTGGCAGCTCGGAAATTTTTTTCATACTTGGGGCCCGCGACTCTCAAATACGGGACCTCGCAAAACATTGGCAAATAAAACAAACTAAAGAGCAGAAGGGCTTAGAAGTGAGTACGGTCATAGTTTTTCGATATTTTAGAATGATTGAAACCCCTCCAGAGTGTCAACTCAGTGAAATACGGAAAATGAAAGTGACAATTATTACGCGTTTCGTCCGTCCATCCACCCCCTCCCCTCCCCAGCTACAGGGGAAATGTTTTAGTCAGGGAGTGGGGTTTGAAAATTGCAAGAATGATTTGGTCTTTTTAACCTTTGTTAGTTTTATTCCATTTATATTCTCAGACACTATTTTTTTAGTTGTTTGCTTTGCTCAATTACAAGTTAGAAAATATATTAATACATTCTATGAGTACAAACCAGATGCTAATCTTGCCAAAATAAATAGTCTTTGCTGACTCCTGGCACTGATTCTTGGAAAAGGCTTCATTGCAATGCTGTGAGTTTACTATAGTACTAACCTTAAAGAAAACCATATGATGAGTGAGTGTAGCGCATTCAAGGTTTGACATTGACATCAGATTCAATGAGACGATTCACTGACTTGGTCATATGATTTCATGAGACGATTCTTTTAACTTAATCATACATTGTCTGCGACAACTGAGCGATTCTCACGTTTCGGGGTAGTTTCGTTTCCTCTGACTCCTGTGCCCAAACGAGCGCAGATATCGACATGGGGTTTGTTTCTGATGTTAGAGAGGGCCATTGCCCACTAAATGCACACATTTCGAAAAGTTCACGTTCGTTGGATTGGTCTGCGAAGCGTTTGGAATACCCCAAATGTAACTTCCGTGATTG